TTTTATAAAGGTCAAAGTGGTTCTTCTACACTGAACTCCTTTATATATTTAGCAAGCAAACTAAAAGCATGCATATATAAGATAACTGGCAGGAGGCACCCTTGTATAACAAATTTTAGTAGAAGTTTCAGCTTCTGTTAACGAAGTTAAAATAGTAGACCTTATAGGAGAACAATAAGCAAGCTTTCAACACATTCACTAAAAATTCAAGGATATCTGCTAACCGAACACTACTACCATATTCCCCGCTTGGTTTTTTCGACGGAAGTTTTTACAAGAAGTAGGAATTTAGCGTACCCACTATGAAAGATCTACAGAAATCGTCCATTTTGGGAATAGGAGAATCATCACTTTTCTGGAACTAGGAGTAATTCTAATCGGAGTGAAAAGGTCAGCTGTAGAACTGGTGATGAAGAAATTAAACACTGACATCTCTATCATTGAATGATATTTACATATAGTATAGACCTATTTCTAGAATAGAGACTAGAAGTAGCAGTATTATATAATTTTTACAATTTGCTCTGACTGGAACTTCGGCTCTCTTTTTGTTTTTTTTTTTTCTTACTATTACATGTTTGTTTTGTTGTTTTGTTTTGATTTAGGTTTTGTTTGTTTACTTTTGATTTTTTTAGTCATTTTCATATTTGTATTCAATTTTATAATACCCCTCTTTTTTCAGCCTTTTGAGAAGAAGGAAGAATTTAAAGAAAGGATTGAAGACAGTTAACACTTGTCCCAGAAGAGAGAAATCCTTTCTGGTACGGTCTTAAGTAGCCAGATAAGCAGTCTACCTCTGACTGAGATAATACAGCAGGTCACACTTAGGTACCAATAAGGTGGCCGGATGATGCTAGACTTAGTTATTAGAAAAATTCTATGTAGTTATTATATGTAGTTGCAAGAATCTTAATAAAGTACTAGTGTGGCTGCTTAAGAGCAAAAAAAAAAAAAAAATAATAATAATAATAATAATAATAATCTATATATAATATAGAATGAATAGATAAATATTATGAAATAAACCTTATGAGATAAACACTATGAGATAAATACTAGAAGACAAAAATCAATTTTAATTGGTCAGTTTTATGCTAATCATAATGCATAACTGTAATTAGTGTTACACATTTAGGTTCTGAGTAATTGGTTATATGAAAAGTAAGAGAAATCTTACTTTTGTTACTTTTGTTACTTTTATTACTTTATTACTTCAGGTAGATCAATGGCATATAGAATATTCAGTTTTTCTTTATAATTTATCTCATAAAGTTTATTTCATAATGTTTATCTACATATTCTATATTATATATAGATGCTTTAAAATTGGAGCAATGCGACAGGTTATACACTAATAATAATAATAATAATAATAATAATAATAATAAAGATAATAATAATAATAAAGATGATAATAATAATAAAGGTTTTAAAATTTATTGCATCTGCAATATATTGCATCCTTTTTTGTTATTTAAAAATTTTAGTTATAAATTATATAAAATTTTAATAAAAAAAATTTTTATAAAATTTTGATATACTTTATACTCTTGCTATATTTCAAACTTTAACTCTAATCTTAATATTAATAAAAGTTTATTTTTTGTTTTGATAAAATTTTTTACTATACAAATTTAATAATTTTTATATAATAAAATAAAGATGTAATATTTTGCATCATACAATAAATTAAAAATTCTTAATAATAATAATTTAGTTCATTATATTTTTAATAATAAAAAAAAACTTATTTTTAATATTAAAAAAAAAACAATAAAAAAACTTTTTATATAACAAATAATTTCAATTTAAATTTAAATTGAACAAATCATATATATAGCAAGCAGTAACTTATTACATTATATAAATGCTGAGTAGTAATTTGAACAGAAAAAAATTTTCTTAATTAGTTAACTGAACTAAAATATTTTATACTAATTGATGATTACAACTGGTTAAAATTATTTCACATTTTATATTTAAAAAGTCTCAGACCTTTACTCAAATTTTTGACTCCATCTTGCTCATCTTTTATGTTCATTTATTTCCTTTTTGGAACTTTTCAAAATACTTGCTCACCCAATTACTGGTTGTACGGGTCAACCAATTAAGACCGGTTACCCGAAATTTATTCGGTTCGGGTCGGTTACCCAATTATAGCCCATCCGGTTTAAATCACTAGTGCTGAGTCAATGCAAAACGTACATTTTTGATCCACCCAAACATACCTAAAACTAACCAATAAGATCGCATGTTATTATAGCGATAGTAGAAGTATATAAATTTTAGAGTATGTTTAGATGTAGGTGCAGAAGTATCAAAAATGAATGCTTTGCATCGGAAATACCCAGTAATGATCTTTGATCACATGATATATAATATGGCATTCCCTAAAAATATTAAATATACATTTTAACAATATATCCATATCGATATACAATTTAATAAATTTTAAAAAACAAAAAATGGTTAGAATAAATAAAAATTAAATTTGTTTGGCCTAATTTGCATCAAAAAAAAAACTAAAATAGGCCATACAAAATTAATGATTTGGTTTTCATATAAAAATAACCGGCAATCCGATTTTTAAATATAATCGAAATTTTTTTTGTATAAGTTATAACAACCAATTTGTTAAGTTTGTATAGCCTAATATCTAATAGTTGACATATCGATATTTATTATCCTCCAAACTGGTGTGAATACCTAGAAACAAAACGTGAGATAATTAAAGCAACGAATTGGGAATTATAAAGTAAAATTTTGTTTGCAAATTAGATCTGAACTTTTATGTTATCCGTTATACTTTGTTAATGAAAAATTCACAAAATTTCCGAATATAGCTCATTTCAAAACTTGCATTATTGCATATGTAAACCAAAAGATCCGAGGTCAACTTGAAACTTCACAATAAAGATAGAGATAGGCAGTTAAATATGAGGCTTAATGACTTAACTCGGTAGCAATTTTATATAGAAGGCATGCAACACAGCTATACTTGCTAGCCAAATCCCAAACTATTATAGTTTGGGTTTGTCCGTGCCAAAATCCCAAACCCATGCCCAAACTAATATCTCAAAAACTTTATTAATAATCTTTATTCAAACAAATGATATATTCTTATAGCTATATATAATATATATTTTGTTGATTTAATTTTTTATAAAAGCAATTTGTTTTTTTAGGGTTCCGGGTTTTGCCAGCACAGCAGTATTCTTGGGTGGCTAAATTTTACCGAAACCGTATTTTTAATATACTGTGATGCTAAGAAAATTTGAATGTAGGGGCTTAGCAGCTAGCACCTTTTTGTATTTGTATAAAATTACCTTATGGATGATCACAGCCTCGTCTTTGTCAACGTAAACCAATCAAGCCTAATTCCGATAGGTGAAATTTCGTGTGACTTCCACATGCTGCGGTGTAAGTATAAACCACATTTATCACGTGAACAATTTCCTTTTTGTGATTACTGGCTAAAGGGGTTTATAGCCATATAAATATACTGGTCAGGTCAGCAAATCATCCTCCAATCCAACACTTATCAACAATTTAACATTCTCGTTTGACTCTCAACTTCTTATTGGACTAGAAACGACCAATACCAACACAAGCAGGTAAACTAAAGCAGACCACTAAGTAAACTCCTAAAGTGAAGCTTTTGTAAAATTTTTCTTGAACCAGTTGTCGGAGTTTTCAAAGCCAACGTTGAAACCTTCACAATTATCTTTATAATACGTTGACCTTTTCCTATTATATTAACCACTTTCTTGTTAACGTAATGCAGCCCCCTACCATCCTTCCACCACTTGTAGCAATTTCTTATTTAGTATCCACTAAACATCGTTGTCATAAATGGATATAAAGGAACAGCCTAGTGAAAAAAATGAAGGACCCACGGAGGCACCATCTAATAACCAACAAGAGGCTGAGCAACAGCAACAAAACCCACAAGAACAGCAGCATGCACAGTATGATATCGCAGCTTCATATGCAAATCTTGCTCATGCAAATGCTGCAGTAGTTGTTGATCCGGTAAGTCCTTATTGCAATAGTTTTTGTTTGAAACTTATTTAACATAAGTCTTTTATTATCCCTTATTATATACTGTGTAGGCTCTTCAATCTGATCCGACAAAAGCGTCGGGTGCCTTTCAAGGTGTTGCCTACGGCCAACCGTACGGTCTGGTAAATAAAATAAAATGAAATAATCATGATAATTTACGTTAAATATGTGAAATAATGTATAATATAATTTGTTTAAATATGTCTCTAATCCAATATTTTAGATTATGAGTCCTGCGAGCCCGTTTGTTCTTGGTGCCACCAGTGCTCCCCCTAATGCATCATCAGGCATGGAAGAACAAGAAGAACCGCTCTACGTGAATGCTAAACAAGTAAAAGATAATTTTATTACTTTATCATTTAATGAAATAAAATTTTAAAACTTTGCTGATTAGAGATCTGCAACATTTATGATAGTATCACCGAATTTTGAAAAGACGAGCGGCTAGAGCAAAATTGGAAGCAGAAAATAAAATACAGAGGGGTCGAAAGGTTCGAGAATCTTCAATTTTTATGAAACGACAAACTATTTACTAAAAGATTTTCCCACCCGTTTTCGTGTAACAGAAATATCTTCACGAATCTCGTCACAAGCACGCAATGCGCCGGCCTCGTGGACCGGGTGGCCGCTTCCTCACCGCAGCTGAAATTGCGGAAATGGAACGGCAAGAGAAGAAGGATAATGAAAATTCTTCACAGACACAAGAAATTCAGCAAAATGGTTCCGGACCAGAATCTTTAACACATATCTTAACTGAAAATGGTGTAAAACAAGAATTACGTAAATGAGATTAGATTTGCATAGTTTCTTTGATGATTTATTGATAGCTAAAAAGGCATGAAGTTTTGTTTCAATCTTCCACTTAATGTTGCAGCTGAAAAGTTTTGTACACTGCACTAAAAATTATCGTCATTATTTCATTTTTCATTAGATAGGTTATTTTATTTTTATTTTTGTTTTCTTTTTTTCCTCTTATTTTTGATTTCGGGTTGGGTTTAATATTTTCCGATGTTTCGTTTATCAAAGTTTACACACATTTTTCATCGCATAGACATTTTCATAATTGGAGGTGCTACTTTTGCTTGATCTAATGTTGCATTGAAATGTCACACAGTTTTTTTTTTTTATTTTAATTTTTTTTTTTGAAGCAAAATAAAAAAAAAAGTTATGTGTGTCATTTACTTTCTGCACCTTGTACCATCTATTAATCAATAATACATATAAACAGACTGTTATAGCATGGACATTTTTATAATAGCCAATGGGCATTTATAACGAGTTACACGGAAACATATGTGCATTCTCATAAGCCTTCATTCTTATTTGGCAATGACTTTCTCCCAAGTATTATTGAGTTTTGGGTTGTTTTTAAAAAGCTTTCTAATAATTGAATGGGTGTACTTTGAAGATCATCAGATTATGAAAAGGGAAATTTTAGAAAGTCTTTAAGAATGGGTTGTTGTATAACTCATGAATTACATGTATATCATAATGTTGACTGTGTGTGACTATAAATCATAAAATTTCTGAAAATCTAAAACTACTGATTGCTCCTACCCATTTGACAAGCCTGCATTGAATAAAAAAATCGTCGCTCCTTCATAGTCCGTATTACTTTGGAATTGCTATTCCCAGATTTTACACACGATTTTTGTGTTTCGGGGGTTCATTGACCTACTAAATAATTTCATTTATTTTAAATCAATAAATCAAATATATACACATACCAATAAATTTGGTAATTGGTTCGTCTCCCTTTTACCCCGAGAGAAAGCATTATTCTTCCCGAACAAATACCAAAACAAAAAATTTTATCCCTTTCTCATTTTTAAATCTTAATGGAGGTAGTCAAATTAAATCTTAAGTCTGAAAAAACTAGTCCTCTACTCCGTGAGGTAGCTAGACACGTCGCACGCGCTAAACGGTGTATTATAATTACTGGTGCTGGTATTTCTTGTAGTGGTGGAATACCTGTAAGTAGTCTTTGACTAATTTGGATGAAATTAAATTTCTTCTCGGGATTTTCAACGCGTTTTTCGTTAGTTAAGACAGTTAAGCCTAACCTTTAGTGGTAATAGGCTTATTTTTTAAACTATATTTTCCCCTTTTTTGTTATAAATAGGATTTTAGTAGTTCAGACGGTCTTTATAGCATGATAAAAAGTCAATATCCGGGTACTTTTCGTTCGGGCAAGGATTTATTTGACGCTGGCTTACTTAGAAACCATGAATCTATCAAAGCATTTTACCTTTTTATGGGTGTATTAAAAGAGTTGATTGTAAATGCTACACCGACAGCCACACATTTTTTTATAAAAAAATTGGCTGATATGAAGAAATTAAAAAGAGTATATACACAAAATATAGATAATCTCGAAGAATTAGTGGGATTAGAAGTGGACTGGCAACTTGAAAGAGTTAAACACTGTCAAGCACAAGTAGTTCAATTACATGGAACCATGGCGAAGTTACGATGTAGCGCTTGTACAAGTAATTATTCTTTTGCGACGCAATATTGTGACGTTTTTAAGCAAGGTGAGGCGCCAAATTGTCCCGGATGTGAAGAGAGAGGTAAATATCACGAGAAAACGCGAAAGAAACAAGCTTTTAATATGATAGTTTAGTTTACATTTTTTTCTTTTATCAATTATATTTTAAATTGATAAATAAGCGTGGATTTGACGAAATGTTGATTAATTATTAATTATTCACACTTCAAAAAATAGAGGACGCTAGAATCGAACAGGGTAGACGACCTCACACTATTGGACAACTGAAACCTACAGTAATTCTTTACGGTGACTCACATCCTAAAGGATTAGAAATTTGTCAAATTGCTGAGCAAGACAAGGATAAAGCGGATTGTTTGGTTATAATGGGAACATCTTTAAGAATTCCTGGTGTAAAAGCTCTCATAAAGGACTTTGCTAGAGCGGTTCATGATCGAGAAGGTTATGTGATATTGGTAAATGCTACAGACGTAGTTACTAAAGAATGGAATGGATTAATTGATTATCAAATAGAAGGTACCTGTGATGAATGGGTTAAACTTGTTGAAATAGAATTATCAAATATCGAAAGAATGACGGCTACAAGACTTTTGAAAAGTAAATCGGCCGTAACAAATAATAAGGAACAAGATAAAAAAGAACGAAAGAAGAGTCGTGATGAAGAACCATTAGATAAGAAAGGAAAAAAAACAAAAGTTAACATAGGTAAAAGAGTGGAAACGAAGAATTCAAATAAAGAATTAATGGAAACGAGGGAAAGAAAGAAGAGACGTCTTAATGATGAAGCAGTAGAGAAAAGAGAAAGGAAGCCGAGAATTCTCAAAGATAAAATAATCAAGAAGAAGGAAAGAAAACCAAGGAGTACAAAATCCATACAATCAGATCTAAAGGAAAGGAAAACGAGAGTTTTCAAAAATAAACTTTTTGAAAGAAAAAAAAAAAGACCCTTAACGTAGACCGTGGGGATGATAAAGTTAGTTTAGGTTATAAACCTTTAAGTTCCAAATTAAAATCTAAGAACCAGGTTTTTACATAATAAGTTCCAAACCAAAATTAAATCCGGTTTGGTTCAGAAACAAATTTTAAGGCCTGGCTCGCAATATTTTGTATGAAAAAAAAAAATATGTTAATAAAAAGTTACTAAGCTTTTAGAATATATATATTTTGATCTTCTGAATAACTTTACTTAATATGCTAACATTTTGATTTATTTAATAAAATTTTGACTTTTGTAAGATGAAAGGGGTAGTATAACGGATTGGTAAAGTGGCGGATCACATAATATCGAAGTTAACACGGATCTATTAACTAGAGTCTAATTATTTTATATTATTCAATTTGCCTCACCAAGATAAATCGAAGGATATAAGAAAACATTCACTTCTATTACTGGATTACAAAATGATCATATATCATAGATGGCCTTTTTATTTGTTTAGAGCGAGTAGACAATATGTGTATATGTAATCTAATTTCATGTCGATCTATTGATCTGTCGATCCTCAAGCGATGACATTAATAAATGTTATTAAAACACAACTTGCTTTTCTTTTAGAGTTTTAAATAAAATAAATTTTAACCGCCAATAATACCCTTTACCTTATGTAGTGATTAAAATTTAGAACATATCTATTTATCACAGGATGCGATCGACCAATCAACGATCGCGTAAGGAAAATTATTTATTATATGAATTATTCCTGTGTAATAAAAAACCTAGGGACGACGAGATTAGACGACGATTTCATTAGTCCTAACAATGACGACTTCGATGAAATCACATACATCAATAAAAATGCAGCGATTCCAAGGTTCTAACAACGATTCCAACCATCTGGAAAAAAGAACTACAAGTAATAAAATTACATCAACGACGACGATTCTGGCGACTCTAATTACGATGAAAGCATACCGAAAAAAAAGAAGCGAATTAATAAACGTAAGTTAAAAATATGGTTTAAGCTATTTCCTGCAGTGATTATTACAAGAACATTAGACACAGCAACACGTGACACGTGATCTAATTTCCTAATTCTGCTGGCCGTGCGGTGTCGATAAGGTTAGTGCTGGTCATTTGCAGTTCGATCGGTAGCAATCCCCCTTAATTATGTGAACAGCGAAAATCACGTGAAGAAAAATTGACCCTAGCGTGATTCGGATTTTATTTTGATTACAAATCTAAAATTCATTATTACCATACAATAAGCCATACAAAATTAATTAATTCAGTAATTGGTTTTATAACCCGGCCGGGTCAAAATTTAAAAGCTTATAAAAAAATTTTTTTTATATCCGGGTGGGTTTTTAAAAATTTTTTATAAAATTTATATATGAAAAATTAAAAAAAAAAAAGCCGGCCAGCCGGGTCTGATCAAAGATATAAATTTGTGTGGCCTAACGAATAAAAAATTTTTTTTCTACCATGTGCTGTTATTGCTTGAAAATTTTATGGAATTTTGCTTCTATTTTATATTATTTATTTGAATTTTTTTCTTTGATTATTAGCACATTTAAATCACCAAAATTTTTTTTTATAACGATAAGTCGTTTTTTTTACTGTCAGATCAACAACCCAAATCCTGCATAGGAGTCATACTATTCACAATAATGAATGAAAAAGGAATCGAAGTAAAAAATGTTTACAATACCGAAACCAAATTAAATTATCAAATATTTTTTAAAGCGATAGTAATAATGAAATAAATATAACAATTTATTTTAACATGAATATTTTTTGGTAATTTAAATAAATTACCATCTTTGCATATCTTTTTATTGGTTCAACATAGAAATAAAAAACAAATGCTTGTAAAAAGTCGAATTTGCTTACAAATATAACCAAAAGAAAAAGTCTAAACAATTAAATTTTAAGCGATTCATGTGATTCATTAAAAAAATTCTTTTGAGACCATATTTATTGTTTGATAACAATTCATAAATACGCTAAAGACATTTTCTGGTTAGTGATCGAAATTGAATTGTCCATAACCAAATCCGAATCACAATAACATGTACCCGGCAGATCTGTCCGGCTGTCATTTGCGGCGACGGGGTTATCACGTGTAGAGCTTCGTATTCGTATTCGTTATTCGTATTCGGCGAATATTCGAATAATTATTAGACAAATAATTCGAATAATAAATCTTATTCGAATAAGTAGTATTTATTCAAACAATTCGAATAAGAAATCTGTAAGCTCTAATCACGTGCCTTATAATAAAGTCAATATAAATTACGCGACTTTTAAAGGTGTTTATCGCGTTATTTCTGACTTGTCAACCAAACATTACCAACTTTTAACAACTTTTTAAATAACGCAAACAAACATGATCTTTTTTTTAATTGGTAGAATTATTCACTTTTAGATTTGGCTTTCAAAATGTATAAGAATTTCTACTAACTAGTCTTTATATTTACCGAGTAAGGTTCACTTACACGACAAATTACACGCCTAAGTACTGCTCCCGTAAGATGTCCGAATTGTCTTGATCCATCTCCAACTGTATTTCATAATAAATACCAAAATAAGCTCTCAGTATTTTTCATTCCCGTTTGGTGGTTCAAACCAAAATACCTTTGGATTTGTGAACGATGTAAGTGGACTGGAGATACAAAGCCTAATGACGAACAAGTCCGACAGAGAGAAGAAGCAGAGTTGACATTACGGCAACGCCAACCTTTGCCAACTTGGGTAAAATCATCGAGTATCGTTTTTATTTTTGATCACAGAACTATCATTAAAATTTTATCAAATTCCAGGGATTGAGAAAGTGTAAAACTTGTGATATGGAGGTAAAGCTTATAGTTATTCAAATTATTCACGCGACTACAGTTATATAGTGCGCTAGAAAAACTCTCGTAAATATTGTTTTGTAGATTAACGTTTCTGGTCGCATCAAGTACTGTCCATACTGCGGGAATCCGGTTCAAATCTAAGGTTTAGACTAGAGGTTGGAATCGAATATTCGAATCAATTCGTATTAAGTATGAGTTTGAATATTCAAAACCATTATACAGCCGTTACATAGCCTCTACATAGTCATTACAAAACCATTATTATAAAATGTTATAAGACTATAAGTAATTATTTTTAGCCGTTATACAATTATACAACCAATTGCACTTATTATATAACAAATTTGTTATAATAAGTTGCAATATAAAAAGCCGTTATAAAAAACCTACATCACAAGACACTATTAAAAATGTTTACAACAAACTTCTATGGCATGTATTTCTTCATAAAGTTTGAAATTGAGCATATTAAAGTTGACAGAAATCAACGAAACGATAACTAAGCAAGGATATGCCGAAAGCAATCCGGTTAGATTCAAAAGTGCTGTTATTAATTCTAATCGAACGAGCACATGAAACAGATAGGTATAATTTAATTAATTACTTAATAAGATAAATTGATATTTAAAATTTCAATTAATAATGCTGTAATAACTATATTTATCGTTATTGTCACGATGAAAATCGGTTTTTTGAAGAAACCCTGAATTTGAAAAGAAGGGTTAATTGCTGTATCAAAAAAAATAAAAATGTGACAACATATCACTTTGGACTGGTTCGAAGGTCTCGTGATTAGTGTATACTTGTTGGACAAATCCCAAACTTTCAAAAAATAACTGTTAAATAATAAAAAATCCAATTAAACAAATAATTTCAGAATTTTATAAATATATGTATATTTTTTTAATATTATTTAATTGAGATTTTTATATTAAGTCCAAATTTATTTTTAAAATATTATAGAAAAAGTAAAAGCATAGATTAAATTTTTTTTTTCTTTATTTGAGCAGTCTTATTGGTCACCTTTATTATAATTTTTGTATATATATGTACAAATTTGCATAAATTTTGACCTAACTTTTTGCAAATATTTATACAAGTTTTACAAGTGATCTGTTTGTACTGATTATCTAACTTAATAAGAAATTAGAGTATGTTAAAGGTTGCATTTGACCACTGTTATACAATAAAATGTTATCAATTTGATAACATCTTTTTATAAAGAAGTGAACAAAAACAAAGAAAACTTATATATAAAAAAACACAGAAATATAAAATAAATAATAAAAAATATAATATAAGAAATAAAAAAAAGAAAGAGAAGAAATAAAAAAAAGATGTAATTCTTGTTATATAATTATTAGATGATTATAATTATAAGCTTGTATCAAGTTTTTAAATAGTATAACCTATATTAAATAGCATTAACTTTATTATTTTTTTATTTACTTAGAATATTTAACAAAAACCATATAAGATTAAATTTTAATTTAAAGATAAAAAGTCAACATAGAAAACTGGTTAGTTTAAAAATAGTATTTTATACAATTCAAAGTATATATATAATTGTATTTGTATTTTTTTTTTTGATATTAAGGTGATCTCTTTAGTTTTTTGACTTTTATTAATAACTTATTAGTAATATGATTTTATAAATCATTACAAAAGAGAGTACAATTGGTTATATGTATAACTTTTCTATATTATCTATTTAAAAAGTTCATTCAAAAATTCTTTACCAATTGTCATATTTAATACCTTTGCTTGAATGTTTCACTTTAAATCTTCTGAACCTATAACTTGTATTAACTCACTAGGTCATACTCAGATATCCAAAACATCATCTCAATCTTAAAACTAATTTATCCTTAAAATAAATTTTTCAGAGTTTTCTGTATCTATTTTTATAACTGATCTAGGTATCATTATAACAAAACTAATACTTTCGGTTAAAGTTATATTATTTAATCACTGTGCTCTTATAGAGTTTACACAAACCTCAGAATCTATTTATAATATAACCTTAGTACTTTAGTATATCCTTGTCTTTTCATCTACCTTTTTACCAAACTCTTAATTCAAATAGCTTGTATAAGACTACAATTAGTTTATTGGTATATTAGGTTAGCCTAATATTCTTTTTCTCTAGTTCATTCTAATAATCTGATTAATGATATCTCTGAGATTCTTAACCTGAAGATTCTTGCCTATCTGGCTACTATGACCAGGTATTATAATCTTGGTATCTATTTTTCTGAATTAGTCTTTACAGTAGGGCTGTTAAAGATCTGACTATTTTTCTATTCAGGTCTTTTTAAATAGACTTCTTGTTACTCAATTTTAACAAATTTATATAGTCACAAGAACTTATCTAGTATTTGCATTACCTAATTTGTTAGTTTGTATTTCACTGTATAATAAGTTATACAGATGCCTTATGATTTGCCAGTCATACTGATGTGACTTTTATTACAAATATCCTAATCTAATCATTAGTAACAGTTACTATAATACAAATATTACATAGATAATTATCCAAATTTTTGCTATTAATAGAATTTGAATATTCAATCTACCCTTAAGGAGTTGACAACTTGATCACTTCACTAGATTATCACATCTCTAATCTTAACTTTTATAATATTTTCTTATTTTATATTTTTATAAAAATATTTAAATAATATAATATAAATTAAATATTCTTTTATTTATATTACAATATATTTAACATAACTCTTTTTGATGATTATTTGAACCAAAGTTTCCAAAAAACTGAACTATAGAAAATAATATAGTTAATATATTAAACTTTATGAAAACCTTTCTGGAGTATTGTACATGCATTGTTGAACATTGAAATAGAGTTGAAAAAGAGTCACAGCCTTGTAGTAATGGTTTAAAAAGCATTCTAGAACTATAAAAGAAGTAGTTAGTGAAAGCTAAGGTTTCTCATTAAGTAAATAACAAAGTTGAATATATTAGTTCTATATAACTATAAAATCTACAAGAAACATCCACAAGGGTTAAGAACTCACAAAAGCTAAAAGTTGGTTCACCTAGTACTCTCACTTTTTCTTTGAGAAAAATTTTGTAAAAATGGGTGATTTAGTTTACTTCTTTCTAAAGATCAATATATAAAATTACCAAAACAGTTAGCAGTGTTTACTTTCTAAACAGAATTGTTTATGACATAGATTGAAAATAATACAGCAATACAAACATGACTATACATGTGCCTCAAGCTACTGAAAACCTGTCAAACATTGCCTTTAGACTAACCAGTATTCTATACTGACTCTCTATGATAAAGTTGAAGTTTTTTTCTCCTTTTTGGTTTTTTGTTTAAATAATCTAAGTAAATAGGAAAATAGTAGAGTAATTTCTATTTAGTATAGTTTATAATTTTTACAAGCTCAACACAGGCTTATAATTGTAATTGTCTAATATCTGTGAATTGCAAGTTTTATATCTGACATAGGCTTAAAATCACAACTATCTAATTTTGTAAATTGCAAGTTTTACACTTTTCTTTTTTCTCATTTTTTTTCATTCTTCTTTTATTTCTTGTTTTGTATTTTTTATTGTTTACCCCTATACCTCTGTTTTTTTGTTTTATATATAAAATCTTTTTTTGTTTTTTTTGCTTTTTTATGAGAAGATGTCATCAAATTAGTGGTATCCTATTGTAGAGCAGCAGTCAGATGAGCAGTCTACCTCTGTTTAAGGTAGTGCAGCAGGTCACACTTAGGTACCAATAAGGTGGCTAGGTGATGCTAAACTTAAGTATTAGAAAAATTCTCTGTAATTTGTATAATATCAAGAATTCTAATAAAGTACTAATGTAACTGCTTAAGTTTAAAAAAAAATTACAATATATTTAATATCTAATAAAATTAGTTATAAACAGAATTATAATTATTTATTTATTTATTTATTTTTATTAAAATTTTTGTTTTTAGAAAGTAATTATTATTTAAGTTTATAGAATACAGATACTTTTAAGAACTTTTTATATAAGAGGTTATATATGCATTTTTGGTATTCAATTTAAATAGTTTGCTTATATATTACTATATAAGTTCTATGCTAAATATTATATTTATAAGCTAATTAAAAGTCTTGCATGGAGAATAGTGATTTTAATATAGTAGTTGGGTTGTCATCCTCCAAATGGCAGGTCTAAGTTTCAAATTCCACTTATAATGAAATTTGAAAATTATATCTACATTATAGTAACTGTTCTCTGTTGATAAGTTGGCCTCATGTGGCTGTTATCTAGGTACACCAAGTCAGATCCTACTGATATTGAGAGCTTAGGCATTTATGCAAAGTGTAACATTACATATACATAGAGAAATATATAACCAGTATTGCATAAGACTTCAGTGCAAACCCATGATAAGACCATCAGATGTAAAAGACTAAGAAACCAAGATGACAGAAACTCACTTGGAAATTTCTAAATAAAGAGATAGCATAAACTTTCGATGATATCATCAGATCAGTTGAAGTCTACAAAACACCTTCATAAGAACCAAAGGTTAAAACTTAATATCAAATATGTATAGAGAAACATATAACCAACCAGGCTGCCAGATTTACTAAAGGAAAAAGATACAGAAGTATATTATACTGGGCTATCTGTATTGGTAGTCTGGAAGAAACTGCTAGTTCTAAGTTGTAGCAGTAAGAAATGATAAAGAAGATGCCAGAAAAATAGGTACTAAAGTTCTAGTAAACTTTACAAGAGTATAAATAGTGTATTATAATGGTTAAACAGGTAATTCCTGTAACTGCAAGTGTTAGATAACTATAGTATGTTGCATAAAACTAGGTCTATATATGTAGAACATAAAGGCTCTAGTAAGT